TTAAAGAGCACTTTAGCCTATTTAAACTCATTATTTTGGTTTTCCAGCGTACGAACACTGTTATAAACAGCTTATTTTCCTGCTGCAACAGAGAGCAGTTTCCAGCAAAAAAAGGTAATAAAGCCACTGAGCCCTCCCTACTTAATGCAGCAACAGATAAACAGCTCACAGCTGAACACAGTCACCAAGTTAAGAAGCCAAAGAGCCATGTTATATTATTTTTGTCCATTCTTGGTGGAGGACAAAACACGCCTATAAGTAAATATTGACTGACTACAACTTGGATGCCCTGATACTGCCTGATCAGAAGGTGACTGCTTCCAAAAAATATAACTATAACAGCTTCACGGGATAAACAAAAATATGACGTGCTCTGTTCCCCCCACATCGCCAATAAAAACAAAAATGTAAGCTTTAAGAAGAAATAGTTCATCACTGGTTTTGAGGAGAAAGAAGATGCAAGCTCCAGTCTTGGTCACTGCATCCTGACCGCTGATCAGCTGAATAAGACAACAAGATTGATGATATTGTGCAACATGGCAGGTCAGTCTTTCATGCCCTGGTCCTTTAAATCACTGACACATTTAACATAGCCAACGTCTAGTGATTAATTATGCTCTCAAACTCCATTATAATAGAAAAAAAATCATATCATGAAGTTTAAGTTATTCATGTTATTGAGCAGTGATAAACAAAATAAACAAAATGTATCAAACCGCCAGTATCTGTTTTTATATAAGGCTTGATCTTATCACTAAAGGAATGCGGGAGACTGACACTTTGATAAATACAGTTTCTCAGTCGGAAAATTTACTTCACAAAATGTCAAACTTTTTGTTCGAGTCAACTCTTAACACATCCATCATAGAGCAGGAGGCGGGGCACTCCCTGGACAGGTCGCCGTTCTATTGCTGAAGAGAGACAGATCACATTCACTCTCACATTCACACATAAGGCCAATTTAGACTCACCAGTAATCTAACATGGATTTGGACTGCATGTTCTTCATGAGTGCTTCTTGGACATCCACTCAGGAACAGGAGCGCTTGTTTAATAAATCAGATTAAAAGAGTGTGTCTTCCTCTCTTGCACCGTACCATGGTGTGAGTCTTGCTAAAGAGGGTCTGGGATTACAAACAGACTGGTCGGACTCCAAAGTAGAAGAGTCCAGTGAGCTCAGAGATCCTGTGGGAGACCCCGACCCTTCATATGCATAAGTTTGAAGGTAGTCGAAAGGAGGAGCATAAGGATCTTGATCAGCTTCTGCCAGCCTGTCCAGAATAAACTGCCTGAAGACCTCATCCTCCGGGCCAATGAGGTGCGACTCTCGGAGGGACATTCGTATGCTGGCCCTGACGTCTTCCCTTCGCATCCTCCTCTCCCTTCTCCTGGGGCGGGGACGCATTGGGACAGTAGGTTGGCAGAAGTCCAGCTCCACTCCTCCAACTCCCGATTCTCCATAATAAAACACCTTCTGCGACACAGTCTCAGGCAGCTCCAGCTCCTTCACCTCCACCTCACGTCCCTCCTGCTGTTTTCTCCTGTGTCTCCTCACCATCACCATTACGACTGACAGCACTGCAGACACAACACAGCAGGAGATCATTACAGTTAAACACCAGGGCATGAGCTTTGTTGTGAAAAAAAAAAATCTACAGTGCCCGATGGAGCATGCATGCTGCGCACAAGCACACCGAGAAGTAATAGCTGCCAGATTTGTTTTTGTGGATGCAAGAAATCGAAACGATGGCAAATTAGGCAATACATTCTTTTTAGTTTTTTTTGTTTTGTTTGTTTGGTTGTTTATTTTACTTCAGCTCACATACAAAGAAAGTGTTCCTTTATTTGCTCCATGTGGCACAGAATACTAAAACTCTTGTTATTTTGTTTCTGCCGGGTTTTCATCAGCTATTGTTCTCATCCAACAGAATGTTAGCATAGCAGGTTTTGTCATTAATCTTTCATGTGATGGGCACAGGGAGGACACAAAGCAGCCGAGGTCATAATAAAGCTCTTCACTATGCAAACCCATCAGTGTCCCAGGATGGCATTGCTACTGATGTATTGCAACCAATACGCACATTACCTGACATCATTGCTCTGCAAGCTTTCAGCATTTTAAAAGTGTGTGTTAAAGGCACGCTGGTGAGTCTTAAAAGGCAGATTCAAATGAAAGTGCAAATTTGTTAATGAAAAATCTTGCTATTTAACACACATTCGCATACTTGCCAAAGTGGTGTGAGCTGGAACTGCTTTAGCTCAACAGACCTGCTGGAAAACAGTGACTTATTTTAACGACAGTTTCAGTGAAGCTGACGTTATAAAACTCCAACATCTCGGGAGTTTGATTTACTGGTTTCTTTTTCCATAAGTAATATTGAATGAAAGAGCAATTACCAGTGAAATCCTCTCTGAATGTACTTTACAAATTTTACTAATTAACTCTTCCAGTGTATTTTTTTTTATTAAAGCAGTTCTTTTTTAAATTGAATATTCTTGTTTGATTCGACATCTTTTATTCCAGTCAGACTTTGTCGTGACGTCGTATCAAAACTGACGTCTTGCTTAAAAGTGGAAATTATAATTGGAAATACTTTAAAATGCTTCTACACTTTCTCCAAAACCCAGACAAAAAGGAGCTACAGTTAGGCAACAGTGTTGTAAAAAGTACCTTACCTTTTTCCTTTTTTTTTTTTGCATATTTGAAATACTTATGTCTCCATTAATTAAACAAATTTTAACATTAGACAAAAATAACCCACATAAATACAAAATTGTTAATGAACATGAGACTTTTTTTTTTTTTTTGTTGGTTTCCAACCTTCTTTGCCCTTTTTTCAAAAAAGATTCGTGATAACTGGGAATTAGTCTTTCACATTGCTGCACAGGAATTTTGGTCCACATTGGTACATTTTAGGAAATTAACACCATGTTTAATGCTATGCCAAAAAAATCTCAAATCAGTTTTCATTCTGGTCTTTAACTAGACCACTCCAAAACCTTCATTTTGTGTTTTTGTGTTTTTTTAAGCCACTCAGAGATAGATGTGGAGGTATGTATTGGATCATTGTCCTGCTGCATAACCCGAGGGTGCTGGAGCTTCAGGGCAGAAACTGATGGCATTATCCTGGAAGATTTTCTGGTACAGAGCAGAATTCATTGTTCCACCAATTATAGCAAGTTGTCCAAGTCGTGGAAACGTCCCAAAATTTCAACTTTTGTCTCGTCAGTCCACAGAATATTTTTCCAAAAGTCTTGGGGATCATCAAGATGTTTTTTTTTTGGCAAATATAAGAGGAGACTTTGTGTTCTTTTTGGTCAGTATTGGCTTTTACCATAGAACTCTCACATGATACCATTATTATTCAGCTTTTTTGTTGTTGTTGAATCATGAACACTTACCTAACTGAGACAAGTGAGGCCTTCAATTCTTTAGATGTTTTTCTGGATTCTTTTCTGACCTCCTGGATGTTCATGCACTCTTGGTGTAATTTTGGTAGGCCAGCCACTCGTGGGAAGGTTAAACGCTGTGCCAAGATTTCTCTATTATTTGGATAATGGCTCTCATTATAGTTAAGAGTTCCATAGTCTTTGAAATGTCATTGTAAATCTTTCCAGACTGGTAGATGTCAATGAATTTGTTTCTCAGTGGTTTAATTTGATCATGGCATGATGTGTTGCTTTTTTGCAACATTTAGTCTACTTTACTTTTTCAACAGGTTCTGTTTAAGGGATTTCTTGATTCAACAGATCTGACAGCAATCAGCTGTGGTTGCGGCTACTGACATTGTGCTCTGCTTTCCAAAAATATGGTTAATCCTAGTTACTTCATGATTTAACAAGGAGGCAATTACTTTTTCAGGTTTGGATAGGATTTTCTAAACAAATCAAATTATCACTTTAAAACTGGATTTGGAGTTTGCTCGGGTTATCTTTTTCTAGTACTACAAAATTTGTTTGATCATTTGAAATATCCACTATTCAAAACTTAAACAGGATATGCAATGTGACAACATTATGCTTGCTTACCTGTGAGTGTGACCAGGCAGAACAGAATCCCTAACAAGGTTTGTAGGCTCACCCCCATGGAGAGAGCAAGGGCTTCCACCCCTCCTGTGGGACAATGACCTGCAGGCTGACAGCTGCACACACTAATGGTCAGAGTGCTAGTACCGGAGAGGGCTGGAGAGCCACTGTCTGCCACCACCACAGGCAAAAGGTACTGGGTTCGATCCTTACGGGTGAAAGTACTCCGGCGTGCCACGATTCCAGCTGTGTTGTCTAAAAGGTATGCCAAATGTTAGAGATGCCCTTTTCAGCATTCTTTAAAAAACCATGAGAAATCCCAATGTGAATGCTGATGTGTCTAGACAATACAAGGAGAAAAACCTGTGAAGTGACAAACTTAATGCAATTTAAAATAAAAACCAGGCTCTCTAAAAAGCCCTGCGCCTTGTCAAATCAATTTCTGGTCAATGTATAAAAGTAAATTTGGAAAATGAATTTAACTTCTGAGTGTGCCTGTAAGACTTCATGAAGGCACTGAACAAAAAACTTCTTTGGAGTCAAATAAGCCTTGTGGCATATGGAAATGTGTTTTATTAAACTTGTTTCTTGATTCATTATTCATTTCCTGGTTGCTGACTGGACTGCTGTGCTTGAGTGGCTAACCACCCATACGCTGCACCTGCATATATTTCATTCTAACTTACTCAACACATTCAAACATGCTCTGTACTTTAACAATGATGTCTCTTCAATTTGCTGCCCATTTTCATTATAAACTCTAAAAAAGGGTTGAGTGCACTCTAAGCCAAACACCTCAATTTGCTCACTCAAAAGGCAGTCAGCCACACAAAAAGTAGAACCTACAGAAGGATTTTCCTCCCAGAATATTCCAGGATGCATTTATTTATTTTTTCTTTAATCAAAAAAATATCGCTGTTATTTTGTCCTTAGCCTAAAATCATTGCAGGTTATGACTTAGCTGTTGTTCATTGCTTTTCTGGCAGGAACCATATGGGATACCGTGGCTTCTTCTGGTTTCGAGTTCATTTTTGCTCCACAGCCTAAAGCATCTGATGGAAAATGTCAGTGATTTGCAGGATGACATTTTTTGGAGCAAGAAGTATAATTATACAGATTTAGTTTATGCTGAGGGTCTCACTGCAGTAGCCCTGAGTCAGTCAGCAGCTGGTTCGTTGCACTTGGAGGGAAAACAAGTCACATTGTGACCGATTACATTGTTAGACTGACATCACATTAATCTCTGTATTATTATTTTTCTAGTTTCTAGACTTTCTTTTAATCATTCACTGCACATGTTTTGAGGTGAATTTGGGGAAAATATGCCTGTTTTCTGAAGAAGAGCTAAGTGGGACTATAAGCAACACTCTCGCTCACGTATATGTCTATACAGAAAATATAAAGCTTTAGCCTCCACAGAGAAGCTTAGAAAATTGTGAGAAACAGGTGCAGCAGTGACTCTGATTCTTTCTCAAGCTTCTAAAACTCACAATTAGTCGTCGTCTTTCCATAATGAATAATGGCATTACCTCATAGTAACATTCTGGCATGGATTGAATGAATTCAATAATACAGAGTAATAACTGCGCTTTAGAAGCTAACTGGCCAACTTTGTGAGTATGAAACAACACAGACGCTCTAAATGATTCCCTTGTTGTGAGTCGTTATGCTACTCTAAGAGCCTGTTTGATGTAACTCAATAGTTACTGAATGAGCATGGTATCTAGTAATTCTAAAGCAGACACATTTGTATGCATTTGTATATTATTGATTTGACTATAACCTTGATTATCTCTGATTGTGAAGTTTGGATTAATGCGCTTCTCGGGGACCATAGAAAAGTAGAAATGATGTCCTTCGACAGGGTCGTCTGGATCAACAGCGCTGAGCAGTTGAATGAGCTGAGAGAACAAAAACAGAAAATACAGAAAAAACAAAGCTGCAAGAAGTGATGAAAGTAAGTAAGGAGGAATTGTATCCATCTTTTTATATATACATACAGATGTAGAGTGCTTAACAAATTTATCAGACCACCTATCATGGAAAAAAGAAAACATGGGCATTTTATAAATCTGTCAAAAAAAATTTCATTGTTATTAATACGTGAAAAAAAAAAGTTACCAAAAAAACCTGACTTCATATATTTATACCCAAACTTGAGCTACTGCACTGAAATTAATGAAGCATAACATTCAACCATTGTAACAATTTTCTGCTCAGGAATGCAATTAAATAACTGTAATTTGGCAACTTTATCAAAAATATTGTGGTTTGCTATTTTTATCTGCTTTATTTTGGAAAACAGTAAATGTGAAAATACGTGCATAACAAAAATAATGAATTTTTAAATATTTATTAAATAATTAGCATTGAAATTATCAATTTGATTAAAGAGCTTGCCCGTACTGGTGGAAACAAAAAAAATATTTTTGGTAATTGCCAGTCCTGGTAATTTTCGGCAGCTGTGGCATAAATGAACCTCATTAGATAATCTGTATCATCGTGCCATTTTAGGAAAGCCTGTTTTATTGTTGCTGAATGGAAACATCCTCTTTATACGGTGGCCCTGAGAGGCCAAACGGACTGCAACTTAAGAAAACACCAGCAATAAGAAAAACGCTGCAAAAGCACACTGTTAGGATGCCTGGGTCGTCGACCCAGGGTTTTTGAGTTTTTGATATTATTTATACTTCCTAGTTTTTGGTTTCTTTGAGTTCTGTCTTATGGCTTATGTCTCTGTCTTCTTTAGTTGCTCTGTCTCCCCTATCACCTGCATCCCCTTGTCTAGTTCGCGTCTATGTGTATCCTAAGTTCCTATATCCCCGTGTTCAGTCAGTGTTTGTGTCTGCCCTGTTCCCACGTCTCTGTTCCCTTTGTAGTGCCTGCATATGAGTCTGTGTCTTTGTTCAGTCTGTGTTATGTGTTTCCTGTTTTACTTTGAAAGTCCATGTCTGATGTTAATGTGTCTGGTTTTGCTTCCTCTTGTCTCGTTAGGCCTGATTTGCCCCAGCTGTGTTTCCCTCCTGTTACCCATTCCCTGATTGCTCCCTCTGTGTATTTAAGCCCAGTGTTTCTCTGTGTCTGTGTTGCGATCTACCGTTTATCAAGCTGTGTGTTCTGTCTGTCCTCCGGTATTAGTTTATTTTTTTGATCGTTTCCAGTTATGTTATATTTGAGTTTAACATTAAAACGGTTTTTGAGTTTACATCTGTCTCTGGAGTCTGCACCTTGGGTCCTATTCCTGCCTGCACACAGCCACACCTAACACACACAAAACACAACAGAATTAGGAAACACGACAACAGAAATAGGAAAAAATAGATTTCCAAAAGCACAAGCAAGTGTTTCTGGGGAGACAATAACCCGACGGACCAGTTGCAGGAACCAAAATATGCTAAGAATTGCGCTGGGAGACACTTAAAAGAAGTGGAGGATCTATCGGTTTTGTGAGGAAAGAAAAGATGAGAGGTAAGTGTGTTAGCCTAACTATTAGCCTAAAAATCCATCATCAGTATTATATGAGTCATGATAAAACTGGTGCTTTCTTAAGTTGCAGTCCATTTGGCCTCTCAGGGCCACCGTATCTTTATTGTGATTTGGAATGTATAGCTTCAGAACTACATTACAGCATTATAGGAAAAAGATGTATAAGGAATGCAATTAGTATAACAATTCTTTACCCAAGTTGAATTAATTCTAGTTCTCAACTTACATGGTGTGGTGACCTAATAAATTCGTTAAGCACACACACGCACACACACACAATATATATATATATATATATATCTCAATCTCACAGTATTATGCAAAAGTTGGGAATCACAGTTCTGTTCTTTGTATTTTGCTTCCAAGGAGCCACACTTATTTGTCAATTATGGAAGTTGGCTTTAGCAATAGTTCACAAGGCCTTCTTTCAGTAATTGTCTTTGGACACTGGCTGCTTTTTCACTCATTTACAATTCAATTTTAATTTATACAGCGCCAAATCACAACAACAGTTGCATCAAGGTGCTTTATATTTTAAGGTAGACCCTAATTTCAATCCAGTTTTAACAGTCTTAACATTTACCTATGAATCATTCAAACATCAACAAACCACAATATTGAAGGGATGAACCAATGTAGCTCTCATTTCTTTAATGAATCTAGGAAAAATGCCAAAGATAACACAGGTTGACATACATAGTATGTTTTGCACCAAAAATGTTGAGTTATCTGGATAATCGGACGGCATAAAAGTGGCAAGTCAAGAAAAACTATCTACAGAAAACCTTTCCCAATACTACTTAAAAAAAATAACAAGAAAGCTTGCCTCAGAAAGTTCAGTCTGTGTTGTGTCAATACAGCTATTTCCCATTTTCAAGTCTGGCTCTTTGGAACCAAAATGTAAAGAAGATCAATAGATAGATAGAAATACTATAGGACACAATATGACAACTTTTACAGTTCACATTCATGTATGTTCAGCTTTCCACTCTGCAGTGTAGTAAATCGTGAACATCAGTGCATCATAATATACATACTTCTCCTGCCTGCGTCCCCTCACAGATATATGGCTGGTAATCTCTTGCAAGCCTTGGCACATTGTCGTTTATGTCCAGTACTTTGATGAACACCACCACAGAGGAGGATAAATGGTTCTGCGCTGCAGTAGTGAAGATAGACATTTGCTGGAGTCCACTGGGTCCATGTATCATAAATGCTTTGTAAAAGCTCTGTCAAAATAACACTTAAGACTGAGAAATGTTTCTGTCTTCTAGCTTTAGGAATGTGGGAGAAAAAACGGGCACCAGCATCACACTGCTTTCACCAAAACAAAATAAACGATTCAACAGTAAACAGTTATACCTATTATGGAAATTTAAGGCTTCAGTCTACACTAGCTGTTCCCAACATTTTTTTCTGAGGTGCACCCACTGGTCTGTGAGATGGAAACTGAACGACTAGTAGGTAGAAACGAAAATATATCAAATTTGACTTTTTCCTGCAAGCTTTTTTTTTTTTTTTACAACTTGTAATATCTCTACTCTTCAAAAGTTGTAGACTTTTGAGAGTGGAGATGTAATTGTTTTTCTTTCTTTTTTTCTTTTCTGCAAAAGAATGACAAAAATATGACATTATCTTTTACCACGAAGACAGCATGAAGATAGAATTTTAACACAAGACCAGCTGGATAAAATCAGTTACAAACAGGTTGCGGCGCCTAAAAATAATTTTGATTGCTTTGGTTGCCAGCATATTGCCGTTGTTGTGCATAACTTGCATGTCATTTACTTTGCTGTAGTGAAGCTTGAAAAAGTGTGAAGCAAAATGAAAATGCAGAACATTTACTTTTAAAGTTAATATTGTGGCATCACCACTGCAATCAACACATTTCAAAATGTACTTTTTCAGGCTAACAGTCTTCACTTCCAATTTGCATCACTCATTTCTTGGTTTCACGACCACTTGGTGAGTAGTTTAACTACAGGTCACCGTGGCAATCCGCTATCTACCAAAGCCCTCAAAAGGAGGTTTTCAGTACACCACTGTATACCTCTTTGCGACCAGTTTCACGACAGCAACCTGTTGTCAACCAGTTGCAGAATACATACTTTTCTTCAGGCAGTAGTGGTCAGCAGATGGTGACGGACTCGTCTCTAAGCCTGTATGAATAGGACTTTACCAAATGATTTTACAGCGACCTCCAGCAACCACTCACAACTGGTCAGGGAATACACATTTGTCCTTACCCAACTGGTTTGCTGCCAGATGACAGTCTCTAGGCCTGTGTGACTGAGGCTAAATGACACACTCCATGAAGAAGTGGAATAACACACTCCATGAATATATCTCTCAGTCCTGACACTCTGGTGTCTAAGGAGTGACGGAGAGTCGATGAGTGAGTGGGTGAAGGAGAAGCTAAGATACTGTTGGGTTGTGATTTAACAAGAAACCTCTGTCCATCACATGACCTGCTGGCGATTAGTACATGGTAGCAGAAAACGAATGACTGAGTAAATGAATAAGGACACATTTTTAAAGTCAATGGAATTAAAAGTCAAGCTATTTATTTGTTGCTTTTAATTCCATATTTTAAACAACAATCCACTGTCCAGTGCTTGAAAACCCTGTTTGTGAATCTCTGCTATAGTAGATTTCTCATCAGCAAATTGCTGGAACATATTTTGCACACGTTTGGGAATAATTGTGCCATAAGTCAACCGTTAACATTACCATACGCTCTTATAAAAAACATGAAACTCTCCTTACTTGTTTCCTTAGCTTCAACTGTCACATTGTGCCAGGCTGCAGTCTCTCGGTCCAAAGACTTAGCGACAGTTATCGTTCCATTGTTTGGGTCTATTTTAAAAGCTTTTGTGGTATCGCTCCTTTTGTCAACAGAGTATCTGGAAGAAAAATCATGGAGACATACCATTTAGAAGGAAAGGTTGTTTTCTGGGCAAACAAAACATTGCGATACCACAGGGAGATTAATTAGGCAAACTGCTCAATTTTTTAATCTGTTGACAGATATCCAACAAAGCAAGTACACACACGAGCTAGTCTGACACAGCGACAACAACACTGTGAAAACAAAGCACCTCATGCAGATGGCATTGTATTTTCACAGTTATTTAAAATGAATATTATTTTTAATCTGACCAAAGACATTTTCTGTTTTGACATAAGTGTATAAATAGAAGGTAAAAGCAGGTAGACATGGAAATTTGTAACCATGGAAAAAGAGACAAGCTTTTATGGCAATTAAATAATAGCTGCCTTGCATGATATTATGTTTTGTGGCATGTTTGCTGGTAATGGGTGACAAGTGGATCTACAATTTTTTGTCAAAATAATCGTCAGGCAGCATGAATGTAATTATCACAAGCAAACCAGGCCATTTTTATTGTATACCACTTTCTCATCATCATTGGACTCTTAATAAAAAGTGATTAGAACAACCTGGTAAATTAGGATATCAGAGTAATGCAATCTTTCTGTGAGCTACTTTGCTGATAACAGCATGGGAAATTTGACCACAGCAACTTTAATCATATTTACTAGAACTGCGGAAACCACTAAAATGTCAGCCTGAATTTATTAATCAATGAGACACTGTCACCAAAGGGACAGTAATAGACGCTAGGCTGAAGATGATATGCAGCACCTGCCATTCTTAAGCTCTGCTGAGATGGACTACAGGCACCAGTAGTGCGGCTGTCTCCTCTGCAACGTGCCCCACTTGCAAATGACTGCAAATCTCAATTCCATATGCCACCTCGTATGGTGCTTTATTACATTCCCACGTCCTAGCAACGTTGCTTTGTGATAATACCACGGCAATAGATAGAAAAGCCTGTGAGGTTAAAAAAAAAAAACTGTCATGATTTATTCAGCAGGGCTCATTTCCTACTAAAGTAATATGAGATAAATATGACCATGTACAGGGTATCCAGAGATCAAGGGTAAAAATGGATGCACCGAACCGGTAACACTATTTGAAATGAAATGATTTTTCACCCCGTGGAGGAAGCTGTCTAAAGATGCTCAGCCCATGCCAGCTTGGGTATCTACCTTATCATTATCGTACTGGTAGTCGGATGGCATATGCCATTCTTCCTGGTTTAGACAGTTCACATTACCTGATGGGATTGTTGACAGTGTCAGTGTCTCTAGCACTAACGCTGCCAACCACAGTTCCCACAGCTGCATTTTCAGGAAGTTTCCACTCGTAGACTGGCGAGAGGAAAACAGGTGGCTCATCCTCATCTTTCACAATGACTTTCACTGTCGTCCTATCAGTGAAGTCGTCCAGACTCAGAAAACGAGTGTCCACGTGGTCATTGACCGCCTCAGCGGTCATGTCGAAACGTCTCTTAACTTCAAAGTCCAAAGGCTGCGAAGGAAAGAAATACTCAACTTTTTATAGCTTGTATTAGAACAGAGGTTGTTACAAGAAGAATAAAATTAAATCAAACAGATACAACTTTTGAAAAACAAAGAAAGTTGTATGTAAAACAGATCATTTTTTCTGAGGAGAGCAGGACATGACTGCGACTGGATGTTGGACTTGTTTAGTTAGTGTCAATATGCTACCAGCTGTGAGTATGCACTTAAATAATGCTGCAGTTTTGATTAACATGCTGCTAGTAATAAGAAAACAGCATGCAAACCATTACCACTTTCCCAGGATGATTCAGAAACAGAGTCAATAATGTTTGTTATTTTATTTCATGATCACGGCATCTAAATTGAAATCTCCTGTTCTATAATTGAGAGAGGTATTGCATATATGTGTGAAAAAGTAAAGTGAATAAGATGAAATCATAAGTTCAGCAACACCCAGACAGCAGTCTTCATTCTATATAAGTGTAGTGACGGTATTCAGGAACTGATTTTTGTTATTAATTTGAACTAATTCGGTCAATAACTTTTCAATGTTCTCTGAATTAACCAATAGATTAATTGGCCTTGTGGTTGTGGTTTTGCAACAAGATGTGATTATTTCACTGAAAAATAAATAAATAAATAAACACACACACAGACAATATCACACAGGTTTGGACCACCCTTTGGCTTCTGTTGAAGCAGTTGCTGATCATTTGCACAGCATGCTTTGGCTGTCAATCACAGTCTGTCAATAGACACAGGAGTCTGGCAGTTTGCAAAGGAGTGAAACATGACATTTAGCTTAACTATGAGCACTGACTGAAAACAGATTATAAGAAAAGTTAGGCTCGTGTATGTTTAGTGCAAATGCTTGGTTATACTGACACATGCCATTCATATATATGTATATATATTTCCTGCAACTGACTATAGTGATCCTTTTTGTTTTCGTGAGATATGAATACTTTAATGCAATTTCTGGTTCTTAATATTAATATGTAACACCAATCAATTTTGATTGTTATTAGAGCCACCTTAAGAAACAAAAATAGTCAAAAGACGTTTTTTATTATTCATATTGAGAATGAAGTTGAAATTTTGAGGATAAAGTTGAAACACTCTTTTGAGAATAAAGCGGAAATGTCGAGAATAAGGTCAACTCCCTTCATCCATCTCAATATGCATTCTTGTGTGTACTTGGGTTCTTCTGGACTTGAGAAATGTCATCAGCTGCAGCCCGATTGTCTGATACAGCATCATCCCTTCTGTACTGCACAAAGGTGTAACCATCAAAATCCTTGCATCTCTCCATTTTTACCTATTTCACATTGCACAAATGAAGCCAAGTCTTCCAGGCTTGTTTACTCATCTACTAAGTCATCTACACAAGGCCTTTTGTAGAAGGTCCGGCAGCTGTACACTAATGACATTAGTGCCATTAGCTTAAATTTAAAACTTTATTCTCAATATTTCAATGTTTTATGTTATTGTGTTTTAACACAAAGTACTTTCAAGTACTGCTGTACCCAAATGCCCAACCCAGAGAAGGACTTGTGGCTAGACAAACACACAGACACACACACACACAAATCTTGGGTTAGTTGTTTGGTTTAGCCTCTCCAAAACAACAGCCATTTCTTCTTTTTTTGTAGAAAGCATATCTGAATAGAAGCTCGCGGTTTCCTGTGCCATGCAAAGATCATTGAGTATAGCTGGTAGTTTTGAGATTGTTGTTCAACAAATGCAATCTACCCTTTACTCTCCACTTGAACTGTTTAACTGTATGTAACCAAAGCTTGCTTAAAAGTGACTGGTAAATTTAGATTATTTGCAGACTTCAAACAGAAACCAGAATGTTTCAAGTACCAACCTGCTCTACCGATTTTACATTTTCATACGCAGCTATAGATTTATAGAATACACACACACACACACACACACACACACACACACACACACACACGCATGCACAGATATTCACAGAGAATCTAAATATTCGAGGTAGATATTGTAAAGGGATTCACCTTGGCCAGTAGAATCACTCCCTCTTGTGTTACTGGGTCTGTTTTAATGATAAAGGTGCTTTCTTCCAGTTCACCCTCCAGACTGTAGGTCATTTTGGCATTGATGCCAGTGTCTCCATCCTCTGCCATGATTCTGCCTACCGTGGTGCCGATGGCTGCGTTTTCGGGGACAGCAAAGGTGTAAAGGTCTGAAGAAACAAGAATATTTTCTATGAATCATTTTGATGCCATTGGGCTCAGAAGATGAACCTTGGAACAGGATATTAAAAGGAATACAAAATTTCGTTGATACCAAACTGGTACTTGTGCTGTCTGCAATGACACTTTGAAAAGTTGCTAAATTTGGAGCAAAAAACAACAAATGAAAAAGTTTCTCCACCCGAACACAGTATACAGAACTTGACAGTAACTTGTTAATAGCTAGTCAAGAGAGGCTGCTTGTCTATAAAGTGATAAGAAGGAAGAACATTGTGGTGGAGGGTCAATTTGTGTGAGTCAAAGATAAGTTGTGGCAACACATAATCCCAGCCTAACTGTAATAAGAAGATGAGAAAATGTGATTGTGTCTTTGAGCAACTCCATTTGGATGGCTGCCACAACTGGGTGGAACTCGACACTCGACAGGAAACCAGCTGCTTGTGAAGAAAAAAAAAACTGTGCCGATAATAATTTGCAATTACGTGACAAAACACAGGACATGGTTCAAAGCAAAGTGTGGCCATACAATATTTAAAAGGCCTTTTGACTGAACATAAAATCCATGGGACACATTCAATGAATGTGAATGTGACATTAATAGTTAAAGGTATCATTCTTGCTGTCTCAGTCCTACAGAATTGATTTCTTCCCACGGCATTCATTTAGTGGGGTTTATCACTGGGAAGGCTAGGTTTGCTTCCAAAGGTCATGACAAATGTCCTCTCGTGTGTGAATGATTAAATTCATCCAGTGTATGGAACATGTACACAAGCGCAAAATGAGCAAAACATCCCAATCGCCTTTGCTGTCTCCTTCACTCCCTCTCATTCGTCTCTCAAGCCTGCCATCTTTTAATTTTGGCTGCTGGCTGAATAACAGACAGCTGAATGCAGCACAAACCACCCACCCGAGCCGGAGAAGTGTGATCAAATAAATAGCTCATAGGTATAATATTAAACATGTCCTCACAGACTGCAGTGCTTTGTACTCTTTCATTGATTCCCTCACTGTGTATGGCCCAATGTTTGCATCACTGTGAGTCATATCTGTGACTCACGCTGCTGGAATGTGGGTCCATTGTCATTGACATCAGTCAAGCTGACCGTAACCGTAGTGGAAGAGGAATAACCGCCGCTGAGACCCAGCATATCCTTCACCTGCACCACCACCTGGTACTGCTCTCTGGCTTCACGGTCCATATTTTGCCAAGATGTTACAATAATCCCTGCAGGTAGATAAGACAGGGAGAGAGGAGGAGGGGGCCAAGAGGAGTCTTTGGTTCATTAAGACAGCATTAAATATATCTGTGGGTGATTTTTTTGCTTTGTTTTGTTTTTTTCCAATCAACTGTAAGTAAACAAACTTTGCCTGAAGTTGCACTTGAGAGCGCTGTGCAAAATGTGCAGTAAAACTGCATCACAATAAATGTCCAGTCTTCAAATTTAATCAGCACAAAAAGGAATATTAAGAGGGCTTTCAGATGACTTAATGCTTCCTCTGTCTGGGCAAACTGGAAGATGAGGGCAACAGTAAACAGTAAACAATTTAAATCAAACAAATTAGATTGACCCGACAAATTTATAGGCCATTTGTGGATTTGAATTTATCTCAATATCATGTTCACTGAATCTTGTGTTGAAATGACGTAAACATTTTCATATTCTCCATTTTTACTATGAAAAGATCAAACATGCTCTGTGAAGTTGGATGGAGTTAAACAAAAAAATATATATATATATATATATCTCAAGTCAAGTCAAGTCAAGTATTTATTTATTGTCATTGTCAAAGAACAATGAAATTGCGTTTGGGGCTTCCGTACAACCCGTAATTAAAAAAAAAAAAATACCCCTTAAAACCCAAGTGTAAATATTTAACCCAGTGTGACTTCAGTGCAATGAGACAATCCTTAGCAACAACATGAGAACAATATTCAATTGAAACTAACAATTTGCTTTCTAAAAAGTCATATTTGGACTTTTGCATAGTGCAGTAATTTGCATTAGAATATTTTATTCCATGCCGGTGATGTCCTCCCCCAACTTATTACAGTTAAGGTCAATAACATGTGTGGGAAGTGCTGTAACTGACCTCGGATTTACACAAGAAAATAGCGAGGATGCATGTGGGCATTAGTAAAATCCATTGTCTGTCACAGGATGAACTTGTCTAGCTGGCCTCAAAAGTAGCTAAATCTGTCAATAGCTCTTTTAGGCTCCAGTCATTCTAGGGAAAAAGTGGTTGTATATGATGAAAATTAGTGCGACTGTGAATGTGACGTATGATCTTCTTGCCTTTTAAATGGTTGCTTCGAAGACAGAGACCAGCTCTAAGACCACTTAGAGTTAGCTGCCATCTTCAAACTGGTGTTAGCAAGTCAAGATGGTGATAAAACATGCCGAAATGGCACTGAGACAGAATCCGTCTGCTATCAGTTTTTGACTGAATCAAGTCTGTGAATCAAGTCTGAATCATGTAAGTGCCAACTTGCATCAAGTTGGCACTTACATGCAGTCTGTTTGCGAAAATACCCCGATTAACTGTGATAAATCTCAAATCTGTTGCTATCTATATCAGACGGGAAGTGCTGTACCAAAGTCAGGGGAGGACGTGCCACAAGGAGACTGCATAGAATCCACACATCTACACATCAGGCACATTCTCTCAAATCTAAAAGGGTCAGTTTTTTAATTTATACATTTCTAAACAAATGGAGGCAGCTAGTTGATTTAAATAATTACCCACATTCTCCCAAGAACAGTACAAATTTGTGGTTCAAAGCTAAGGGAGAAGGTAATAGCTGCATTTTCTAAGACAAAGAACTAAGTAAAAAGCAAGAGGACCACTTTGACCCATCTCTCCTTGCTAATTAGTCACTGAGTCCAATAACTATTTTGACAACTATCACATATATAAAACACGCTTGTCAGAGTTAAATTTAGCTTAGTTTACAGTAAATAGGCTACTACAAACTAAAGTAACTCACGCTTGTGTGTTTTATTATTTGATGGAGCAGATGAGTTCTGCTCATCGGGGGAGACTGATTGCAACCTGCTGGCAGTCTATCAGTGTTTATAAATTGGATGGTGATTTATTGCAAACCATTGACAATCTCTTTGAGAGTATTTAGAGTTGTTCTTGATCTGAGTTGGACTAAGAGAGCTCGCCTCCCACCAGGCGCCTGTTGCAACCATTGCCTTGTGAACGAAAGTGGCTACTGCAACTACTAGCAATTGGTCCCAGACGGCAAAACAAATGCAGCACAATTACTGCCAATCATCAGTTTCCTGGTTGCACAGTTTGCTGTCCAATTTTACTCGACTGTGACTGAAGCCTTAGAGATACGTTTACCAAGTAAGTTTATGTAATCTTATAATTAAAAAGAAATGTTAAACTTGCCAAAAGTGAAGATCGGACATTTTCCTGATTAAACACAATGGCTAGTTTAAACTAAAACACTTTATATCTGTCAGCATCATGTACCGGTCTTTGGCTCCACAGAGAAGTAAGGTTCCCCCTGCAGGATGGAGTAGATGAGCTTGGCGTTGTTTCCAAACATGGGATCATCAGCATCTGTGGCTGTCACCTGTGCCACTGTGGTCCCTGTGGGGGGGGGAGCAGATCACACAGTCAGAGTTAGCTCAGGCAGCAGTTCCAGTCAATGGGGAAATAAAGTGATTATAGTATAGTCCCGCAGGGTCTGTCTGACTGGCTCCAGGGGGGAGTAGTGGAAATGGAAGAGGGTGGATAGTTGAGGTAAGGTTAGAGGAGGGATGTTGACTAAGGCAAAAGGGTTGATAAGGTGGGGGCGGCAAAGCAGCCTTGGCCTTTCACCACTCGGTAAGGCGGTGCAGGTGTGCGTGACAGCTTCTCCAGCCCTATTGTGACATCTCACTCTCCACGTGCCGCTTGTTTTCTCTCCTTCGTTCTCATTCACCTTTATCTGTCCATCTTTCACACTTACTCGCATTTTCTCCACTGACCATATCCTTGTCCTTGCTTTGCTTTTTACAGTATATTTTGCTCCCTCAGCCCTCTTCCCTATCTAGTTCTTTCTTCCCACAGAGCACTCTGTCTTTCACACAGTCAGGGATTTACCGTAGCATTTCTTATTTTACAATGCCCTCACTCCAACCTCTCACTTTCTCTTTCTGAGTCAAATGCATTATGATTTATTACGAGCTAGATATTATGCTGCTAAAGCAGATTACATATAAATTGAAATGGTAATGTCTGTGGTATGAAAGGGCAGTGGTTATAATAACATTATTTAAGAAATTTATCCATAAAGGCATTGGAGCTATCATACAGAATCCAATATTTTTAACTTCCTGAATAGGGACAGATGACAGACATTCATATAACCTTTTGTTCATTGTCTTCAGTCAATATTTCATTTAAGAAAATTTATTTCAGTAGCATGTCAGTTTTTATCAATACGACAGAAAAAGTTTATTTGCAAATAAATTACTCCTTTTTGTGACTTATATTTTAAATACAAAAGACGGATCCTTACAGATCTAGACATCATGTCCTATTAATACCAGAAATTGTACAAAATAATTTGGAGGGAGCAGTGAAGAAGAGTGATTGACATAAAAGGTAAAAATGCTTTGAGCTGTCAGTAAGAGCAAGACCTGTATAGTATAAGTATGAAATAATTATTTCCCCATTTTAAGAAAGAAATTTAGAAAATTTCTACTATAATACTGATTATTAATCTAAACTCAAGTGAAAAATGCTAATGACTTCTTGCTCTTGTTGATATTCTTAAAAGGAAGGCTGATTAGTGGGTTAAAGATTTACAACTCATTGTGACAGAACAGCCTCCTAAGTATTTCTCTTCTAAGTTCAACAGGCAGCGAATGCAATAACGTGGCTCTGTAAGTATTAAGAGTCCTTAATACTTACGGAAAGGTTTTGAACTACAGCCCATTCATTCTTGACTGTTTCTAGGAAGTGCCATCTAGCAAAGTGGAAGCTTAGAAATTCTCTTATAAGAGTCAATAAAAAGTACATGTATGTTGAATATTGCTATTACCGCTAATATTACTAATACTTATTTACACATTAAGTAGTAAAAGCTGAGATTTAGATTTAGAGACTCTCTACAGCTGATGGTAATTTTGGTCCTAAACTATTGAATTTAAAAAAAGGCTAGACCTGGACAAAGACGTGTTTAAATTGTAATGCCAACATGCCAGTACGAGCATGCTAATGCCACAAGATTAGCTTGCTAACACTAGATCAGAATGTGAAAAGTGTTCTAACAAGCACACCATTAACAAAGCATAACCAAGGCTGTTAGAAATGACCTTTTAAAATGTAGTTAGTGTCTGTGTTTTCAACATTTCATAAAGGGACTTTTTCACTTTTTTCACACATACCAATTGGACACATCTCAGGAATGCTGGACACATATGGCTCATTCTGGAACTGGGGGACATTGTCATTAATGTCCTGCACTGTGATGATGAACTCTGACTGGGGCTCCTCTGGTTCGTTGGACCATCTATTGATGGCCTGGGCTTGGAGCACATAGAACGCCTTTTCCTCACGGTCAAGCTTCTTCAGTGTCCGGATTTCCCCAGTATACTCGTTTATTTCAAACACATCTCCAGCACCTTCTCCTGATAATATGTACTTGATGGAAGACTCACCTTGATCAGAATCAGATTTGAGCTACAAAAAGAAAAGGAAGGTATATTAATGTTTTTTTTGTTTTTTTTAAATTTTGCATATTTTCTCGAGGTAACTAGAAAGCATGCATTTTCAAAGGGAAGTACCATATCAAGGACATGGCAGACATTCAATGTGAAGCAGTACCTGGCCAATAACACGAGGAGTAGGATCTTCCTCGGGGACAAACAGCTGTTTCCAGATCCAGCCTCTCTTCAGGCGACGGTGCAAATGAGTGGACCCCTGAGCCAATTGTTGGGCTTCCAGACCCTGAGTACCTCTCATATCACTCAGCACCCCACCAGGAATCATAAAAAACACCATCGCCACAGCCAAAACACTCGGCATGCTCATTTTTACAGTCCATCCGTACATTTCCTCTGCACTTCACGTGGATAGTGGACAGAGGATAGTTTCACTGGTCCATGTTACAAATTCTTCATTCACCAGCACCATAATTCATGATCCTGGCAGTGCTGCATCCCATCTTGTTATGATGTGGTTTGTATGCATGACCTTGTCTCTAAAATAAAAGTTAACAATTTAATTAATGTCTGCACTAAGAACTTCTCAGTGGGGCACAGAGACTGAAAAACTGTCAGTGGTAAAATATTATCTTTATGATTTAAAAGGTACATTTTAAAAATTGGAATATTAAAAGAGAACTAATCAAAATATATTTACTTTTGACCCTGAAAATATTTGCATACTCTAGTTAATAAAAAGGCCAGTCTTTTGTCAGCGGTATGTAAATATGATTGAGAGGATCTCTATTTGATTAATAAATGATAATCTAATCTATAGCATTAACTAAGCCATAACTGATGATTAGTAAATTAGACGATTGGATTCTAAACATGCACAAAAACAACTTGAAGGTACTTGGATATAGAATTTGTGCTATATTAAAAGTAGTGGCTAAATTCTGTGTCCTATTGTCCTATTTGGGGGCTTTCACATACCAGTTTCTTTTTTCTTTAAATTAATTTTTTACTTTCACGAAAAACTGCAATTAAAAATTAATTTGTCAGGTTTTTGTTAGGCTGCATAACCAAGAGTTAATTAGGTTACATTTAGGAAAAGATTGAAGTTTAGAGATAAATATATACACCATCGATATGTCGTAACCAGAAACCCTTCTGAAAATCTATGCCAAAACTTGCCTTAACCCAGTGTGAAACTTCCTATAAATATAACTCATCATGTCAACACAGTCTCCATGTCAACTGTGATTGACTGTGATCAGCCCCCTTGTTTCCTCCTATGCTATTTTCTCTTCTGTCACTATTACGCAATCTGATAAAAAGAGGATGTATCAACTTGAAGAGAGAGAAATTGTAGATCAGTGGAGGCACCTCACACAGAACTTTAAATAATGGCAACCGCAGCAGGCTACATTGTAGGTTCTACATAAATTTGATGTAAAATTACAAAGCATACAGTACCCTGGATATTTAGATGGCTATCTGGAAGGGGTCCTTTACAAGCATCCAAACGTAATTATTTGGGAGACACAGCTGTAGCTATTGCCTACATCCACCGCATCATGTATAGATACCAAAGAACATCTTGTGTTTGATTTTGAGATGCCAGAGTTTTGCCAAGCAGCAATATTTGATGCCCCAGGCATGAGAAGAGGTTGCATATAAAAATGCAAACATAACCAAATCACTTGTTGACACTTGTTAACAAGCTCATCTTGAAGATTAACTATTAACAATGTTGAAATATTTAAAAGTGCTGTTCAAATACAGTTCTGCATTTAGGAAGTTGATTCTTATAAAAAATATTGTCAACTTCTGTTCTGTTTGATATCTATGAGTGCACAACAACAAAGCAGATATCTAACAAATCTGAGATAGAAAATCAAAGGATAACCGTTTTTTTTTTTTTTTTCATAATCCTGCAGTCCTGCAAAAGCATCTGAAAACAGTCCTTTGTTTTGAATCCAGACAAGGGCCTGTATTGTGTTATAGTGATGGTGGTGCTGAAAGGGGCTAGGGCGGGGGTGGGGCAGAACATCATTCCTTAAGCATGACACTGCACTCTGCAGCTGACTAATGAAGACTTCTAATTAGATCAATGTCTGCCCAGACATGGAAAACAGAGACACACATGCCTCTGACAAACTATGAGTCAAATCGATGCACCAATTATAATGTGGACCAAGATCAGGGTCAAGAGTGTAAGGACAATGAAAGTCAGGCAAGACAGCAAATTAGTTAGGACCACACAAATACATTATCTTGCACCGACAGCATTGCTCAAGTTAGAAGACTTTAATTTGGACAAATTCATCAATCCTCTTTATAGGAATTAAATGTGCTGTTGTTTTTCTTTTCCACTAGAGACAATAAATATCTATCTTTTATGCTGCACAGGGAAACCACTATAGTTGATAATAGTCTATCAACAATTTCCCCAGTTTTATTTTCTGCCTTATTATTTTAGATGTATTAAAGACTCGAAATTCTTTCACTTCACTTTTCATTTTTGACTTCTGTCCTACATGGTGAAGCAACACAAATTATTTATCTTCTCATTAAACCTTAACCTAACTTTATACTGCTCTCCGGTCAAGCAGCAAACCATACATCAGCACTCAGTGGGATCAGTTCTCATTAAGGGATAGAATTCACAATAGCCATAATTCTAAACTCTCTTAATAGGATTTTTTGACACTGCAATATAACCACATAACATATACAGTCCCACTATGTGAATGCTTTAATACAGACTGCTGCACAGGAGCAGTGCATGGTTTGTTAGCATCGCTGGTTCCCGTGGAAATATGCACTATACCCCAGGAAGTTGTTGTAGCAGTTAGAGTAGCTCCAGTATTAATGCTTTAACAGCTCATAGTGTTCATGTTTAATCTTGTAAAAGTAAATTGGCTGTCAAGACCTATTTGTAATGAGCTGGTAAAATCAATTACTGATGCCTTTTATTTCTTAAATTCAATTTCGATACAGAACGTGAAAAAGAGTATGTGTTTATGCTTATGTATGTCCTTACAGGCCGTATTCATATCTCCGAGCATCGTGGAGTGACATTCCAATTAGTGGCCAGTGAATCGTGAGCCGTTATGGTCTTTCATAGGGCTGCCAAGCATGCGCCCAAACTGAACGCCTTGTGCCAAAACTAGAGAAGAGCCCTCATTGATGTTTGTCTGAGCAACTATTCAGCTGCCAACATGCCAAGGAGTCTGCCTCAAAATCTTCCCGAGGATATCAGTGTGGCCAAAATAGTGCACAGGTCAACAGATGTTTTTTTAATGCCAATTTAACAAGATGGGCCTTTCTACAAATAACTGATGAAATTCTGGGAAAATAATATGGCCAAAAAATAGCTCGAGGCCTGTAAATAGCAAGCATTAAGGAGCAAGTGAAACATATGTCCATGGGTGACAACTATCTCAATAGTACTTGATAATAACGGTGAACCTGCCAAAGTCTACATAAAAGACTTTTAGATTATGATTTGATTATGATTTCATAGTTATTAATTTTTACAGGTATGCATATGGTCTGAAAAAAGCAGTGAAACAAGAAAACAGAAAGAAAGATCACTGGACTCCACGGTTCCTTTCAGAAGAAATTCTCATTCTGCATGACATGCTGTACATGCAGAGTGCCCTGTGGTTGACAGCCATTCATTACCTCTAATAGGCCTTCTTCCCATTTCTAGCAGACCTCCTGTAGCCTGTATGTACAGAACGCTACTCTACCACATGACAGAATGACAATGAGCTGCAGTCTCACAATGTTAAGCACTAGATGCGCTGAGACCGTCACATCATTTTCCTATATGGTGATGTGTTCTAGCTAATAAAATGCCGCTCTTTTGTAGGAATGGTTCCGGGATGCTATTAAATTGTGTCTAATGTGCCAACACAAATGTTGCAACACAGCAATAAAGAAAAAGCAGCTTTCACTTGACATTGTGGATGACATGTCAGTATCAATATACAATGCTCATTCTAACTGCTAAGTAATACTAGCTTCATGAGATAATTAATTATTGTGGTTTTCAAGCATAAACCGTCAATCATCTTCTTACGCGGTGCCGTGTATGATAACTGAGAAAAGGAAGCACTGAAATACACTTTGAATACAACTGTTTGAAATCTTTAAGAAAAAACATCTGTTAAGCCTCACTTCTTTAAGATCAAGCTTCTAAGACAAAATGTCCTTAATTGGTCATTTGGGAGCCTACCATGGGACTTGGTTGTTTACTGTTCAGCTCCATAAAACAGTAACACTGACATGTAGCACTTGTTTTCTAATCGGGGTGTCAAACAAGTCCAGAGAATGAACTAGAACAACCAGGGAATGTCAAGCCATCATGTACTTGTTAGTAAGTAATTTGTTTGGTTTTATTATGTGCACAAGTGGAAATCATTGCTGCTTAGCAAAATGTCACGAATTTCCATTGACGGTAATCAGCAACAGCACTACATCCTGTTATTTCTCTCCTTTCTTTTCCATCAACAGTAATTAAGTGATACTACTAGAGTTATTGCAAAATAAAATAAAAGGAATCTGTGAATTTCTATTTCATTATAGTAAAAACTTTGATACAAAAGTATTACATCAAGCTTGAAGATATCAGATATTTTTTGAGAAAATATTTTGAGTGAAAATAACTTAAACGGCAGACTCATATGGAATAAATAAGTCAGTATGCTTTTGAATTAATCACTTTTGACATTAAAAATAAATGCAAACATTGAGGAATATATTTACAAGTTGATACATGAATTGATACTACTTGCTTTGTGTTTATTTACTTTTATATTATTTAATTTACTGTGCCATTTTCATGTTATTTTCATGTTACGAATCAGTTTATCCATTTTTAATTTATTATTGTGTTTTTGGATTTCTTACACATGCCCCTGTGCACTGGTACATTGACCATCCTGCTGTATTTTCTCTAATTCATATTAAACTGCTCTCTCTAATGATTTATCCCTACTGCTGATCGGCTATAGAAGGCTTAACTGTCCACATGTAAAGCCAGAAAAGGAACATGGTCATCTGTTCTTCCTGTCTGCCTCCCTCACATCCATCAGATGTTATTCTTCAGGTGTTTTTTGCAATTTTATTCATTAATTATTAGATTTCCTTTAGACAACAATTTTTACTATAACTATTAACATTACTCTTGATAGATGAATTAGAACAATATTAGTAACTCCTGACTCTTAGAAATTAGAGCTGGGAGTTACCAACAGTTTTGTTTTCAGTTATTAATTTTGGATTAGATTAGTTTATTTATTAGTTATAATTACTATTATTAGTTTAGGGAAAAATCTTGAATCTAATAACTCAATTGTGGGGTTGTTGGAAAGTTTTCTTCTCTTGTTTTTTATCAGGAGTCTCATCTACTTAATTTGTGTTTGTTCTTTATGAGTATTTATGTTCACTTTATCAAAAATGTCTTGATTTGCAGCACTGTTGTTGCATTTCATAGGTTAGATTCAGGGAGCAGAATGTATTTGGGGGTGCA